TTCATTAAAAATTAAAGCGATCTTTTATCCGCTTAAAACTTTCACTTGTTTCACTAAAATTACATACATAACCAATCTATCTGCGTACCCAAAACTTTATAAAAATTTATGGCCTTATTCATAAAAAATAAAGTAGGTTTAAAGAGCTTTATAAATTGACGTTTTCATACAATTTCAATTTTTAAACCTTTTATAAAGCTACTTTATTTTTAATGAATAAGGCCATTCGATTAAAAATTAGAAAATTTAGATCAACATTTGTTGAATTTTTCTACGTTCTGTATAAACAACATAATTAATAACATAACATAATGTCAACATAATTGTATTACATACGTAAGTATATTTTTACAACGCTTTTAATTGTACATAAATTTTTTAGCAACAGGAAATTCTTGCGCATGCAAAATGCCGTCGGCAAATGGAAATGTAAAAATTAGCCGACTGCGCATGCATACACTAATGCAATTTAATGAATTGCTACAATTCATAGATATGTATATGTATGTACGTATATATGTGTATGTGCATAAGTAAATATATACATACATACATACATATGTTTCATTAAATTGTAATGAAATAGTTTTATTGAAAAAGTTCCAGTTTACATGACTTGACTCTAAAGAGGAATCCAAGGAACACCAATTGGGAAAATTATAGGAAATTACTTGATTTTAACCTACCCGGGTTAGAGAGGGATCACAATAAAGGTGGATGTATGGCATTAGAGCATAAAGTTAATAGGCTAACAGATATAATGACTAATTCCTTTAACTATAGCTGCCCCGAGACCCAACCAAGGAGGGGAAAACAGTGTGGTGGTCTCGGGTACTCTCATCCCTTCGGAAAGACACGCGCAGGCTGTTCAATAAGGCTAAGCGCACGGGATGATGGGCAGAGTATGCGGCTAGTCTAACAAAATACAGCAAAGAGATTAGGAAGGCGAAGAGGGAAAGTTTCAGAACCTTCTGTGAAGGTATTTCGAATGCCCCGGCCGCCGCGAGGTTACATAAGGCTATAGCCAAAGGAACCATTGAATCGGAGCTTGCGCTTAAGCTTGCAGATGGCACCTACACCAATATTAGGGAGGAGAGGGCAACTGCCTTGATGCTGGCACACTTCCCGGAGCGGGAGGTCCAGCAAGCTAGGCCGCGACCATCTGATTGGAGACTGGCGAGAGTTAACTTCACTCAGGCTTCAGTCGGATGAGCGCTGGCCTCGTTTGAGCGCTACAAGGCTCCAGGGATAGATGACATCCGGCCAGTGATGGTACAACAGGGCAGTGAGAGTTTAATACCACATCTCGTGGACATAATGAGAATCAGTCTTACGGAAGCATATGTCCCACAGATGTGGCGAAGGGCGCGAGTAATTTTTATTCCGAAAGTGGGTAAAAGAGACTACTCGCTAGCGAAGTCGTTTAGACCAATAAGCTTAACCTCCTTTGTGTTGAAGGCAATGGAGAAGATTATAGATAACCACATCAGGTCTACTATTCTGAGGAGTATACCCCTGCACACATGTCAGCATGCATACAGAACTGGAAGGTCCACGGATACAGCCCTGTACCAGTTGACAACCGAGATTCAGGGGGCCCTCGATTGCGGTGAATCAGTGCTCTGCGCCTTTCTCGATATAGAGGGAGCGTCTAACAACGCGTCACACTCTGGAGTGCGCAGGGCACTGGAGAGGAGAAACATGCAGCCAGCGATCTGCAATTGGGTGGATGCGATCCTGCGTACAAGGATTGCTGTAACCGAGTAGAAGACAGCGTGGTACAACTTCAGACAACAAAGTGTTGCCCGCAGGGAGGGGTCCTATCACCCCTTCTGTGGAGCTTAGTGGTGGATGAACTCCTTCAACTTCTCTCTGACAATGGTATCCGCTGCCAAGGCTATGCGGATGACATAGTAATAATGGCCAGAGGGAAGTTTGAGAGCACGCTCTGCGACATCATTCAAAGAGGCTTAAGACTGACGAAGGGATGGTGCAATAAGTTAGGGCTTATCATAAATCCTGCCAAAACCGCCATCATTCCTTTCACTAGAAAAAGAGCCCTTCCGGGCATGAGGAACATAACCTTGGAGGGGGTCGTGGTTAACGTCGCCAGCGAAGTGAAGTATCTGGGACTAGTCCTAGACACCAAACTTCTATGGAAGAAACATGTGGACGCGATCATCTCTACGGCAACGAAACCTTTAATGGTGTGTAAGCGTCTGGCGTGAAAATCCTGGGGTTGTACGCCCAGAATCGTAAGATGGCTTTACATCTTGATAGTACAGCCAATGATTACCTATGGGGCGGTAGCTTGGGTTTCAAGAACTACTCTATCCACGGTGAGACAATCGCTCACCAAGCTACAACGATTGGCATGTGTTTGTATAACGGGAGCGATGCGAACATGTCCGACGACGGCGGCGGAAGTAGTCCTTGAACTCGAGCCTCTTCATATAACCAAAGAGCAGGCAGCCAAAAGAACTCTGCTTAACATTGCGAGAGAGGGGTTTGGTAAAGGTAAAGTCATTTCCTCTAGGAGTATGGAGAAGCTAGGGTCCTCGCTCCCACTAGCCCTGTTACCTAGAGATGACATAGGAAAGATCATAGTCTTTGAGAAGAGATTCAAAATAGAACTTTGTAGTAAAGCGACCTGGAGTGTCTCCACTTTCGAGACATTACTTCAGGGCTGCACTCTGCACTGGTACACGGATGACTCGAAGACCCCAGAAGGAATAGGTGCTGGAATTGTTGGACCCAGGGCCAGGATTTCTATTCCTTTGGGGATATATCCGAGCATCTTTCAAGCATAAGTTTACGCTATCTACCTATGTGCGGATACAATCATGGGTAGAGGGTATAGAAACGAGAGAATCCTAATCCTTAGCGAAAGTCAGGCAGCACTCAAGGCCCTCATATCCTATGAGGTCAAATCGTTGCTGGTCCTGGAGTGCATTGAGAAGCTTAACTCCCTAGGCAGACACAATAACATCAAGTTAGCGCGGGTACCTGGTCACAAGGGAGTAGAGGGTAACGAGGCGGGTGACTGTCTCGCAAGAGAGGCGGCAGCCACTACTCCAGTCGGCCCCGAGCCCTTCCTAGGAGTGGGTCCCAACACTCTAAAAGAGGAGCTCAGGATAGAGAGGATCACTTTGAGGGATTTAAGCTGGCATAGTTCGTCAGGAATGCGTCAGGCAAAGACGCATGGGAGGTTATAACAAAAGGAGATTCCAAAGGTTAATTAACCTCCCAAAAGGGCAGCTTAGAATAATGACAGGTATCCTCACAGGACACTGCAGGCTGAGGGGGCATCTACGCAAGCTGGGGATATGGTCGAGTGACCTTTTCAGGTTTGCGAATCTACCAGTGAGACACCTCAACACATCCTCACCGAATGTGATGCAGTCTGCAGAAGACGGGAGAGAAGTTTAGGCTCAACGTCCCTATCCCCCAAGGTACTTTTAAATTTTCTAAGGGAATTAGGTTTGGAGGAGGTATTGTGAAGAGTGGAGGGCACAATAGACCACTAGGTCGCGGTGCAAACCTCATTTTATTATCTATCTATCTAACTGTAAGCGTAACATTTTTTCAAATATGCGTTACATGGGTAACCATTACCGTAACATTGCAGTTTGTAACTTGTGTTTGTAACAATGTTTCTCGTGCATTCGCCGCTTTAAAAAACGCAATCGCTTCCATTACCACTAACTGCAATAACTAAGCCCAACTTTTAATTATCATTCATAAATTATGGCTGTTTTCACCGCCTCAATCTGAACAATCTTATAACAGGTCTGGAAATGATTTTATAAGAAAAACATTCATACTTTATTTAAATAAGTTAATTAATGAAGCATTGTAAACAAAGTATAAAATTTCACGCAACCGTGCTTTGGAAGCTGAAAACTTTTTTCAGGACTTGAATACAACTCTGTGTAGTTAACTCGTTTATGAAAACTGCTGGCTTTCTCGCTTTAGGATTTTACCCGAAATTTCATTTTATTTATTTGTCGATGTAGATTTTAAAATAAAATCCATTAAATACTAACACATTAAATGAGGCAAAGGCACTGAAGCCTGAATTATGAACTAAGAGTTGCATGTATCTAAAACGACAAAGAGATTGTGACTTCGACCGCAACATTCCCGACCGGGAGGGAGCTCTACAAATGGAGCAACACAGCAATCATAATAACTCAAAATTGTTCATTTGTACGGCCGTTGATTTTCGAGACGAATTGGAAGAGGTTGGTTAAGTTTACATTAAAGTGGCATATTCAGTTCACGTGTATGTCACTTTTATGAAAATGAGATAAATACTTTTTAGTAAAGTGGCCTTGCATTTCACTTATCGTTCGCATCTTACTCTTTGATATGCTTGCAGCGATTTGAACGTGCCTACCTAAGTTTACAACAGCAAATCAATGGACTCAATGAAAAGGATATGCATGACATTTTGTCACAACTCGTCTGCAAGGAAAAGCAACATGAGGATATTTCAATAGGATTTTTGTACACAATGCTTACCGATCCTGCCATGGCGCCAAAAGCTTACCGAGACTTGACACTTGTCGCGCGCGACGGAATGAACATGGTTGTATCAAATCTTACGATGCTTGTGGCTGAAAAATATGGAAAATTAACCGATGTAGCACGCCGTCAGCTCATATGGTTACTTCGCGAGCTTGTGAAACATCAGGTTCTATTGGTAGAAAATATTGTGTGGAATTGTCTTAGACAAGCAGGTGGTGGTGACGTTTCAATCAAAAATATATTCCTAGTAGAAGGCTTATTGGACATCTTCATTGAGTATCGTGCCTGGTTAGAGTCACAGGCATTCCTCGTGCAGACAGTTGTGTACAGCTATGTTCGACTTATAGAAGATCATGCGAGTCCATCCTTAACTGCTCTCAGGCAAAAAGAAGTAAAGTTTATAATATCTTTGATTCGTGATCGATTCTTGGACATAATACCTTTGGGTAGAGATTTTGTCAGGTATGTAGTTCTATAAGACGTTATTGTGTATACCATTTATGCTATTAGAATGGTTGGCGTTAATATAAAGAGATTTTAATTTTATTTGATCCCAGTAAACACTATATAACGATTATTCTATTTTACACTTTCAGACTCTTGCAAAATGTTGCGCGAGTACCCGAATTCGAACAATTATGGCGCGATATTTTACATAATCCCGAAAGTCTACATCCGACATTCACGGGGATTTGGCAACTTTTACAAACACGTACAAGTAGGCGGTTCCTGCAAAGTCGTTTAACGCCAGAAATAGAACGGAAACTAACCTTTCTTGCGTCTTCGGTTAAATTTGGAAATCAAAAACGTTACCAGGACTGGTTCCAGGACAAATATTTTGCAACACCAGAATCGCACAGTTTGCGTTCAGACTTAATCCGTTTTATAATAAATGTGATTCATCCTACAAATGATATGCTTTGTTCGGATATAATACCGCGATGGGCTATAATTGGCTGGCTAATATCATCTTGTACAAACCCCATTGCATTAGCTAATGCAAAGCTTTCCCTTTTCTACGATTGGCTCTTTTTTGATCCGATTAAGGATAATATCATGAACATTGAACCGGGTATTTTAGTAATGTATCATTCAATACGAAATCATCCATTTGTAAGCAGTACGTTATTGGATTTTCTTTGTCGCATAATGAAAAATTTCGATGTGCGGCACGAGGATAAGATACGTACAGGCGTATATAATTCATTAAATAAGATTCTCGAAAAGCAGGTATATATGTGTAAACTTTTATACCACGGAAAACTGTATCGAACCTTTTATAATTTATTCTCATAGCGTTATATTAACTAGTTTGTATCGGCATCCTAATGTTTACTTACATTATGATTGTCAACATTTTTTTTTTTTAATATTGTCCAGTTTTCCTAACTTAACGCTTTTAACATAGGGCTTGTTCGAGTTGCAATCACAACCGCAGTGATGCGCGAATTATTAAAGTATCACGATCTGTGTGAATTTCTAGCAATGTGTTATCAGTTGGGCAGTTGCAACAATGTTGCCATTTTTCATCAGTACGGCAGTAATGCCGCTTTTATTACGTGCCTCGAACAGGCCCATAATGCTTTAGCGATGCGCGCGAAAATTGGTTTGTGTTATCACTCTTCTACTTTTTTTTATAATTAAAGAGATAATTCGCTAGTTGTTTTCGACTCTTTCTCGGATATAATAGTTCAGAAATGAGAAATAATGTACTAGTCGAGTAAATTAGTAAATTTCATAAACTTTGAAAAAATGAAACATTTTCTTTTCTTTGCAGGTCATTCCAAACTTACAGCCACTATTCGAATCTCCGAAGTTGGATCGAGAATTGCGTAATTTGATTCGAGAAAATTTTCGTGAATTCGTATCACCCACCCATCCTGCGGCACCACTGGTAGCAATGCCTGCGTTTAAAAAGGAAGCAGATCAACGTATACTGCATAGAGGGCAAGCCTTCTTCGGAGGTCCATTGGCACAGCAACATGAAATAAATCTACAAAATAATTTTCAGCTTGGTTCTAGTGTGATCGATTTAGAAACGCAAGGCGTCATCGAAACAAGCGGGATAGGCAGTGGTGGTAGTGGTGGTGTCGGTGGTACACCTATCATCGAAGATGATAATAAACTAACGGTTATATCACCTGAAAGTAATGATATTGAAACCGAAGCTGCTTTCAGCGAAGATGACGAAGATATGTCGAAAGATGTCAAGAACGAGGAACTTACGGATGATGATGATGATTTACCTTTATCAAAAGTGCGATTAAAAGAGAAGCCGATACCGGAGAAAATAGATCTACCCGCCTCCATCAGTGACTCATTCGAAACTTTCGTCACAAAACGCAACTCATTTACGTGGGAAGCTTTCTTGGCGGACTTTCGAACATTACCCGCCTCCGCATTGGATGAAACACAGTTGAATTACGTGATCTCGAATACGCATTTAATCTTACGCGAAACATTGCCACAACAAAATATTTTTACTGACAGTAAAACAGATGAAAAAAATTTGGCAAAGAGTATAAGCTATCCACTTTTTGGATTGTTTCGCTTTCTGTATGAAAATGATGAGAAGAGCAAAAAACCATTTCAAACATTGCTTGCAGAGGTATGCGAGCGGATTCCCGAAATCGGTTACTTGTTACTCTATTTCATGAAAGTTCACGTCAAACTGCAAACACGGAAAAATAGCCAACAAGCAGCTCAATTTAAAACTCCTATTTATCGCATGCTGTGTGAGGCGAGTGGCGAAAAGATAGACGACTGCCTAGCACGTGATCTAGATATGCTAGAAAAGGAAAGTACGGCAATATTCCTGTGGTTGTTACCGGACATTTATCGCGAGTTCAAAAGTACAGCCATAAACAACAACGAATTGCTGCGTATCACATTGAGGTGTATTGATGCGAAGAACTTGCGTGACCTGATCTATTATGTGGCGCAGGGAAAACTTACTCTCTTTAAGCAAGATGGACTGATCGATTGCTTGCGAGAAAGCTTGGTTTATGAAACATTTGAACAACTAAGTCTCTGGCAATTGGTGCAAGCGCACGATGTCCCACTTAAGTGTTTACAGGTAAACTGATGTATTCTATAATTTAATTAGCCTTTTTTCAATATTAGTAATAATGTGATCGTCATCGCAACCGGTATGCTACATACTGTGAGTGTGGTTACCTACTCCACGTAGAGTTCGGTTGCCCTTGGCCAATACTACGAAGCGTAATAACAGGGTGGAAATCGCCTTCTATGATGGCGACTCGTCGGGCTATGAGAAATACAGGAACTATTTTATCCGATAGTTCAAACTGAACCCTACGCTGGATAAGACCAAATGTGTGGCCTGAGGGCTACCCAACTTTTCAAAACCAAGTTCAAGGGATAATGTTCAGTTAGCTCGCGGGGAGGAGCGAAGCCTTCAAAGTGACTAGCGCCGATGGACTATTCATATTCATGCTAAAAATATTTTGAGGCCGAGGGGAATAGATTTCCTCGCTAAGGTCCTCTATCTGTCATTGGCCATTCTCATAATTCTTGAAATGTGGTTGTCAAGAAGAGTGGTATCGTTGCTGAAACCCGGGAGGCCAGCCAATAAAATGGTGAAGTCCGTGGATGCCTTACTACTCGTGTACTCTTCGTACAACATGACTTCCCTACGTAAGGTGCACAGCACCACCGTAGCACTTAACGCCATAAACACGAATGTATCTTATGACCTTAAGTAAAACTGCCTCAGTGAGAGAATTGTGCTATTAGGTCGGCAGTCTTCAGTTCGCTTTCGAGCTCAAACCTCTCAGCCAAGACGAATTAAGCAGGGGGTTGGGCAGCGTGCTGCCCACGACTGTTTAACTCCTACATCTTGAGCTGTCAATTGAGCAATAAATTTGCTGTCATTGGAAAATAGAAGGCGTATCCAATTACTCTTATTCGTCTTCGATCTTATCTCTGGCTCCATTGACTGCCCATCTCTTCTTGAGCAGGTTACCTTTAATGTGCCTCAGAACTCTTCGCTCTCACATCCCCTTTTACGTTCCTGCCGTTAAGACTAACTACTCATTTTTTGCGCCTATTTTTCGAGGCCTTGTGGAATTTAACAATATCTCAAAGAGCTTAGATATCGACTTTTCGTTTCCAAAAAGTCTTTTTAAATCATCTCTTGAAACCTATTTTCGTAATTGTACATATACTAGTCACCGTTAATACTTTTAAGCCTACTTCTAGTCTGTAAGATTGTAAATCATAGACTGAATCAAGATGAAATATAATAGGGAATTTACATGTGGCGACTTTTCAGGCGATTTTTAGTTGAAAGCAACAATCGCATGGTGTAAACAGCCTTTCAACTAATCGTTTACAATGAAGTTGGTCGGCTCCCTACTTTCGTTCAACTTTTGGTTCAACTAATCGCCAGTGAAAGTTGAATCATGTAAATTCCCTATAATGTTCACAGTCGCTTATTGAACGAGAAATCGACGTTCAAAATACCATGGAAAAGCGATAATTGAATAAGAGTAGTTTATCTACTACTAGTCGAACTCGCAATAGGGGTGATAATTTCCCTGGTGACTACAAAATACAGTTACATCTACAGTTGTCATCTGTATTACATTTTTATACCCGAGCGCACTTGTGCACAATGGTATATTAATTTTGTTCACATAACGGTTGTTTGTAACAGCCAAAACGAATCGAGATAGATATAGACAAATGTATACATAAATGCTCAGAATAAATAGAGAAGTCGATTAAGCCATGTCTGTCTGTCCGTCCGTCCGTGTACACGATAACTCGAGAAAAAATTTAGATATCTCAACGCAATTTGGTATGTAGGTTTCCATTAATCCAAGGTAGGTTGGTATTGAAAATGGGCGAAATCGGACTGTAACCACGCCCACTTCCCATATAACGGTAATTTCCAGAAATACGAAAACTGCGATATTTTAGTAACTACTGAAGATTATTCACTCAAAATTGATATTAAGGGCGTGTGTGAATCGATAACAAAGTTCTATGGGGAAAGCTGTTGTATAATATTTTTACTATGGTGGAACAGTTTTGCCAATCTGCTGTGTGAAATGAAATCTTTTTTGACAGCAGTAAATTTTTGATAACCGTAGATTTATGCGGAATAAAATATTACAAATTGAAGTGAAGTTAATACTTTAAGAAAACATCTACCATCGTTGATTGCAAGTCATCAATTTAAGCTTTTATTTAACGAAAAGTTGCACACATCAACAATCTTTGCGATTGTCAAAATTTTCTATGCCTTTGTCAAAAATTTCACTAGCCTCATGAGCTACTGAAATTTTATTCACCTCATGTTGTCAAAAATTTACTCGCCGCGAACTTTGTTACCGATTCACACACGCTCTAACAATAATTTTCAGACGAAAAATTAAAATATTATATTTTTTTGGAAAATGGGCGTAGCCACGCCCACTTATGGTTGCATGTCTATATCTTGGTAACCTCTGCACCAATTTCTTCCAAACTTGGCACAGTTGTTGGCCTTGGTACAGCATACTAAATGGCCGAAAATTTAAAAAATCGGACAATAACCACGCCCACATCCCATATAACGGTAATTTAGAAAAATACAAAATCTTCGATAAATCAGTAAATATTAAAGCTAATTTATTCAAAATTGATGCTTGCAACAATTCTTTACCAAGAAATACGTTTATGGCAAAATTTTGGAAAATGGGCGTGGCACCGCCCACTTATAATCACATATATGTATATCGGTAAACGGTCTACCAATTTGTATCAAACTCGGTATTTTTATTGTGCTTGCCACATAAAAGCAAAACGTTGAAAATTATTGAAATCAGACTAAAATTACGGCCGCTTTTCATATAACGGTAAATTTCAGAACTGCTTGAAACTGCAATATTTCGAAATTTAAGGACGCTAATTTACTCAAAATTGATACACCCCGTCTTACCATCTAGCGGTAGGTCTCGGAAAGGTGAAAAAACATATGTTTAATACTTGCGCCGGGTATTTAATGTTCGGCTCCGCCTGAACTTAGACTTGCTTACTTGTCAGCTATCAAAATGTTACTAAAGTTCGGTTGCCATCCCTAATCTATATTTATTTCATTTTCTATTAGTCTACAGACTATTACTTAACTTAAAGCAAAGTTCCAAAATGTCCGGTATTTAAAAGCTCCAAAAATGGCGACTGATTGCTGATGGGCAACCATATAATAAAATTTGCATTACGTCTGCGCTTTTCTGTATACAAAGTACGATATTGCTAGCCATAGCTACTAGACATAAATAATAGAGCCATAAATGCCTAACTTAAGATTGACTTAGTCTATTTGAAACTGCACTTTTTTAGGATATCTTACCCGAGCTAGAGTCCTCAAGTCATCCAGAAGCTCTCAGCTATATGCTCTTATGGCTTAAAAACGAGGAACCGACAAATGAACTGATACGCCTTTTGCTCAGTAGAGAGACAAAGTCTCGAGGCGATCCGTTCGTAACTTCGGCTCTACGGTAAGCGAATTTTATACTTTTTATTGTTAATAATTGTAAAAATGATTTATATAATTATATTTACGTATATTTTAAAAGCTTCTGGTGTCAGCGGGGCGAGGAAAAATTGTCAGAAATCATAGCATCACTGCTCACATCGAAGTATCCCAGCTCCTCTCCGAACAAGCGGAAAAGGCTTACGAAAGGTAGTTCAGGATTGAGTAGTCTACCCTCCGCCGATCAGGTATTAACTATATGTGTGCATAAATAAGGGTCGATTATGGATGACAACGCAACCGCAGTTGGGTTGCCTATGGGCAACGCTACTGAAATGAAAATGTATATTATGAATAGCAACTATAGTTTAGTTCTATAAAGTTGCAGGTAATAGAATTTTGGAGAACCAGCAACTAAGACTTAGGGTAAATACGTAGTGAATGTAGCCCTATGGACGGACCACTTCTGAGATACTTCGCCGACCTAAACGGGGTTAGATCGCCGAAACAACAGCCCTTGGTCGGGTAACCCCCGAGTCATTCCGGTACGTAGAACCGGCTGTCGTGGGAGTAACATTCGACAGCCTGCTCTCCTTCTCTGCGCACTCAACCGCTATTGTCAATAAAGTACAGAGCCGCAACAAGGTCCTCAAGTCGCTAGCCGGCAGTACTTGGGGCAAAGACAAAGAAACGTTGCTGGCAACATACAAGGCATTAGGCCGGCCGGTTTTGAATTACGCACCGCCAGTGTGGTCGCCAGGGACTAGTAGGACGCAGTGGACGAAGCTACAGACTGTACAGAACACCGCACTCAGGACAGCGACAGGATGCCTCTTGATGTCGCCTGAACACCACCTGCACGGCGAGGCGCAAATGCTCCCTGTAAAGGAGCACAATATAATGCTCTGCAAGCAGTTCCTGATCGGGAGCCACAGAAGTGGCCACCCAAGCAGACAGCTGCTTGCAGAGGAGCCCTCGCCTAGGCACGTCAGGAGGCATCTATATGAACTGACGGACGAAGTCCAGAGGTTCATTAAGCAACCTCTGGACCCGGCAGCGTACCGACAGGCCCTGAACGGCATTCACAGGGACTCAGTCTCGAGTTATGTAGACTCTAGACCTGTGAATGCCGTTCTAGGCATACCACCCCCGGACATAGACGAGACGGAGCTTCATCTGCCTCGGGAGACACGCACAACACTCGCACAACTTCGCTCCGGCTACTGCAGCAGGTTGAACTCCTACTTGAGTAGGTTGAATGAGGATGTGCCGAATGAGTGTCCGGCATGCGGAGAGACCCCACATGACTCGAAACATCTCTTCGCATGCCCGGAAAACCCGACAACCCTAACGGCCTTGTCCCTGTGGACAAACCCCACAGAAGCTGCACGCTTCCTAGGGTTGCCGTTAGTGGAACTTGACGACAACGACTGAGATACCAACCGTCCTGGGCGCGGTTGTTGTAGCCGCTACAACAACAACAACAACTTAGTGTAAATATGCTGAAAACACAGTTGAAAAAAGAAATAGATTATCTCAATTAAAATTTCTACGGCAACCACAATAATGCCGTTGCCTCGGTTGCCACCTTTCAGTTGCCACTTGCCATCTATAATACTATTTCAGCAACTGGCCACCCAACTGCAGTTCGGTTGTAATCGACCCATAAATTTTCACTTCAATTGATAAATACATTTGATTTTATTTTCGCTCACAGGTGCTAAGTCACTTAGAGCATTATCGACGAAGTTGTAGGCACGGCACGGGCACTGGGCTTTACGTTTACGATACCATGCAACGTGCACTACAGGCGGCATATACACATAGTAATGAAAGCACAAAAGTAAGTTAGTACATATGTTTCTACACACATAGTATTTTATTATTAATGGTATAAAAATACAAATCAAATGAAATGCACTTTTTAGAAGCAATACAGCGATTTATTTGCGCTAGCTGCTGAGGACGAAACAACCGCCGTGGGGAGACGTGGTGGCAGTGGGCGTGGTAGAAAGCAACCAACTAGTAAAAAAGATACAAACAACCATAGTACGAGCAATAAGAAAAACTCGGATCCAGTTAAAACCATTTACTCATCGGATGAGGAATCAAGCGAAGTATGATTAATAAAAATGTTAAATTTACAAAATTATTTGTACGAACTACTTTTCAGGAGGACTGGCCGAAGCAAAAGATTTCACAAGCCAAGAAGCGGAAAAAAACTATTAACGATTCTGACTGACAGTATCAACAAGGGTTTTATTGTTATGAAGTAGATCCATATAGTAATGAGAAAGATTTTTCTAATTAAATTGTTTAAATAAAAATAAAATAAAAAGTATAAACTAAAATAAAAAATAATAATGCCAATGTAAATGTTTCAAGTGTTGAAATATTCACGTTATATTTTTTTATTTTTCATCAAAAATAGAACTAAAAAGTCGTAAGAAACTTACAATAAGTCGAAATATACATATAAAAGTGCGATAATCACCGAAACAATATAAATGAATGTACTACCTTTTTATTCAAATTACCACCACACAACAAATATTACAAATGCATTTGTATTTTTTCAATACTACCATGTATGTAATATGTATTGTAGGCAATTTTTTTTATTAAGAATTTTGTGAGTTGCCTTGTTTTATGCGTTATAGTACTAGTACCAATACCACTTCATTCATGGAAGTCAAATTATGTTTTGATTGTCTTTAGCTAGACATGTTGTTTACTTTGTATCAACCTGTAAGTATTTTCCTAAACCAGTAATGTCACCGACAGTGATAACAAATCAAGAAATAAAGCTATATTCGTACAGTTGATCGTACATACATATATATTATATATTTACTTATTTACAGTCTGTTCATAATTTCAAAAAAAAAATGTAAAAAATAAGGACAATGGGTAAAATTCATTTGTAAAACTTCAAATATTGGTAGCGTTCACTGAATTTAATAATTTAATTTGTTAATAACATTTTTGTTGCGATCATGCAGTCCATCCAATTTAGAACTGAGGCATGGCGTACGTTTTTTGCGGGAGTATGAGCGTAAGCAACGCTGTTCCATGGAAACAGTTGGCGTTCGATTAACTGCAAAATACAAAAAAGAAATTCAAATTTAAATATTTTTCATAAAATATGAAATGCAGCCTACCTAAGTGATTCGTTGTTCTAAATGCAAATTTCAAAGCCAAATCTAACAGATTATGAGGATGGAAAACATTTTAAGAATAAGGTGTCTTATATGATTTTAAAGTATTTTATTTAGAAGTAGTAGGTATTAAGTTGCATTATTTTAACTGTCTCCATCCAACAGTCGATCCCCCTCATAATTAGCAGACATATACTTAAGATATCTTATTTGTAGGGTTCGGAATCTTATGCAAATGCATGTTTTACTGGGCATCTTCAAATGGAAACGGTTAAGTTATCTTTACGAATCATGAAATTTCCTTGAAAATGGCATTCAATCGTTAGAGCATATTTTGCAGTAAATGCATGGTTTTGCATATTTTGCAAAAATACCCGCTTTTTTACAATCAATGCATATGGCTTTTTCATATTTTTTGCTTTTTTTGACTTACAGCCATTTAAATTTTGTGCGAAATCTCTTAAAAAAAATTACCTATAATTTTTCCCAAATATTCAACTAAATATCTTCTCGGATAGCCAAGCGGCTATTATGGCACTCTCTTCTACCCCTGTCAGATCTAAACTATTGGAGGACTGTAGGAACGAGCTGGCCTCTCTCTGATCACCCTAATATGGATCCTGGGGCATAAGCTTACTTACGGAAACGAGGCAACGGACGAACTAGTGGGGCCAAGCAGAGGTGAAACCGTACAGGATCGTACCCGACAGTTCTGGGTGTCTTACGACCCACTTAAAACCAAAGCTCTCTTAGGAATGAGCAAAGAAGATACCTACAAAGTTACTGCGGTGTGCACAGGTACTGGCCCATTGGGGTACAAGCCGTAAGGATTGGATTGCCCTTCAACAGGCGATGACACGGGCTTAAAAAAGGCAGTCGAACACCCTCCTGTGCGAGTGTCCAACCCTCGCAAGGATGAGGCTTAAGACAATCCGCAAGCCATTCCTACATAATGTTTTGGAGTACAGCTGCTTATATCTGTATGACGTACTGAAATTCATTACAGGGTTATATGAGCTCTGGAATCAAAATGGCAAAATTGCTATTTACTTGTCGCCACGAACGAATCGAGATAGATATGGACAAATGTATACATAAATGCTCAGAATGAAAAGAGAAATCGATTAAGCCATGTCTGTATGTCCGTCCGTCCGTATGTCAGTGTACACGATAACTCGAGCAAAAATTGAGATATCTCAACGAAATTGGTATGTGGGTTGCCCCTTATCCAAGGTAGGTTGGTATTGAAAATAGGCGAAATCGGATTGTAACCACGCCCACTTCCCATATAACGGGTTTTTCGAAAAATGCAAAAACTACGATATTTCAGTAAATATTAGATGCAAATTGTTAAAAATTAGTCCGTGAAGGAAAATCAGCTAATTCACTTAAAATCGATGATTGCAATAACAACTTAGCAGAAAATTTGAATATTATAAATTTTCGGTAACCGCGTTATCAATTTATACCAAACTCGGTGCCTTGGCACGGAAAAGCAATCCGTTGAAAATTATTCAAATCAGACTAAAATTACACCCGATTCCCGTATAACAGTAAATTTCAAAAATACGAAAACCCCGATATTTCAATAACTGAGGACGCTAATTTACTCCAAGTTAATAGTTACAACAATCTCCTAACAATAAATAAGACTTTTATTGACTTTTAGGAATTGGGCGTGGCACCGCCCACTTTATGACTACAAAGGTGTATCTCGGTTTATCGGTTTGTACCTAACTTGGTTCAATTATATCATCAAGTCTAACTCCGCATATTATCGAAACCGGTCGAAATCGGGTAAACACCCCTACTTAGCCTGCAAACGTAGTTCAGAGAAAGTTGAAACGACGATATTTGATACCTGCGCCGGGTATATAAAGTTCGGTTTCGCACGAACTTATACTTCTTTACTTGTTATAAACAAATTTTATACATAAATATCGTCGTTTAAAGTGCAAAACCGCGTATCAACGAAATGCAAAACCGCGTATCAGCAAAATTATTTTCTAGAGAGTAAAAACACTCATATTTCAAAATGGTTCTCTTTTTTATAAAGCAATCGCATTTCTGGCTAGTATATTTCAGGACGAATGGATAAGGATTGAGCCAAGAGCCTGTGGGAGCAAATCCAATTTTTGGCAGCCAATGTCGGTTACGCGGTTTTGCAGAATGACGATACGCGGTTTTGTACTTTAAACGACGATATGTTTTGTATTTTGAAGTGAATTGCTTTCGATATTTTCTTGCTAAAATACATGGGTTATTTAGTATTTTTGTAATGGCAATAAAGTATTAGGAAGCAATTTTTAATTGCATATTTTACTTGTTTATGTGGCATATTTTTAAATTTTGAGTGCATATTATATGCGCATATTTTCGATTTTTTAGAGCATGAGATTCCGAGCCCTACTTATTACATTATCATATCTCTTATTACATTATCATATCACATATCTCGAGAACACTTGTATAAGGTTGCCACCTATTCGAAATTAGTTGCAAATTAAATAAAACATCATCAAATGGAAGGTATTTTAAGTCCCCAATTTAGAAATATCTTGGAATAAGTTTGGCACTTATTTTTAATCGGATATATATTAAATTTTTTGTTTAAAAAATAGAGGTACAATATTAATAACCAAAGTCCTACCCTCTTACAGCACAAATTTTGCTGCAGAAATCATATCCATTTTCGAAGCAGTACAATNCTTCGATTGATTTAATTTTTCGGTTAAATATAGAGCTAATTACATGCTATACAATGGCCCAAAAAAGTTAAAGAAAACAAAAGGTATTCCTTTTTTGTATCACANAACATAAACAATAACAACTATTATGCAGACTACATTCGAAACTGCTTAATAAAATACAAGAACAAAATTGAACTTGTATGGATACCAGGACACGCGAACATCAATGGCAACGAACTCGCAGATTTGGCAGCAAAAGAAGCACAAAACCGCCCCCTAACTATGTCCCTAAACCTCCTCAACACAGATATAATAAGACACATAAAAAAAATAAAAAAATTATGAACAATACTCTACGTACGAACAAACAAGCTGGTATAAATTTGCTAACCCAATGAAACACGATCATTGAACGCGCATTTGCGCATGATACTGACATAACTAGAAGAGAAATAATAATAAAATTATAGTTTAAAAAACTAAAACCTCCCTATTATAATTGCCATTCGTACTGTCACCAGGTATGTAACTTGAGAATAGAAATCGCTGCATCTTTTAGGCGCATCAATATTACATAGTTACATCCCGAGCTAATAAAAGGAAGGTAAAAATAATTAGACTACGGCTCGGACACACAAGACTAACACACCAATATCGAATTAAAAAAGAAGAGAATATCTGCAAATACTGCAATGCTTCAACTCCAAACATCAAACATATCCTAGATGACTGCGCACAGTTTATAAATCACAGAAAATCACTAAACAACACAAAACCTACAGATTTACTCTTGAACCACTCAAGCTTATAAGCTATTTAAAATATTGTAATATCTTAAATGAAATTTAACTAATATGGGTGTTTCCACCGGAAGGTCCACCACGACAAAAAAAATAACAGTTTTATATCTAACGTATTTACGGGCCGATTTGTCTGCTTTTTAAAATATATACTGGCTATGTAAGTAGAATCATGTTTGCATAAAATGGTCTTCCTAGGTGGTGCCAAGGTCGAGATATTTCGAAAAACGGTATTTATGGTCCGATTTGGTTCGAATTTGGCGTATGTGGTTGAAACATAATAAATCATAGATTTCCAATAAATTGACCCTGAATTGGCGCTGAAGTCAAAATATAAAGTATATTCTACATAAAATACATGTTTTATTTGCGTTGAAAATTCATTTAAAAGCAATATTAACAAAAATATAACGATGGAAATTTATGTCACGTCACGCCACGTCACGTCACGTTTCACACTTGGGGTTGTAAAAGAGAATTGAAACAATTTGCATTAATTCAAAAAACTCTAAAAACAACTAGAATTGCTCCAAATCATATCAAAATAAGTTTCATCAAAATAGCCATCCACAATTCGCAGAGTTTTGCGATTTTGCAAGAAAAGAAAAAATCAACTTCCATTTTTTGTCACGTAACGAACCTCTCTTTAAATGCTTCTATTTCAGGACCAAGCACTTCGATTGATTTAATTTTTCGGTTAAATATAGAGCTAATTACATGCTATACAATGGCCCAAAAAAGTTAAAGAAAACAAAAGGTATTCCTTTTTTGTATCACATTGAAATCGTACGACTGTCACGTGCGCCACCATGGGAATGCCCATATATTACAAACACAATACACATATATAGCAAATAACCATCACTTACAGGTCTATTCTGCGCTGGTAATAAAAAGTTTGTATCCGGTAAATAAAGTTCCCGTCAATTTTTAAACCCTTTTCGCATTCTGTGTACTCATGTAACCGGTAAATTTTGTTTCCATCTCATAGGCTGGTAACAAAGCATTGCCCCGTGAAATATGCAATGCCAGAATTTGCAAAATTCTTCATAGCTGAATTGCTGAATGTTTTAACTGCATTACCAACGTCCCTAGAACCGCGGTGACAAGAGCTGGTAACGTTTTTTGGTAATACAATTTTCCGGTTACAAAATTTACGGTAACGTGCAGAATAGACCTGTTAAACTAGCTTAAGGCCTCAGTAGCCATAGCTATAACTCATTGTATTTTATAGTTAACTGTAAATACAATTGTCAATAATAATACTAATAATATTACTTTTAATAGATACTAAAAGAAGGTTATGCCTATATAATAATTGTTATCCCTTAGGATATTTGTGTAAGGTTGCCACTTATTTTCAATTTCACAAATTTTAACTAAAACATCGCAATATGGATATCAAATGAAAGGTATTTTTGAGAAGTTTAGTAAGAAAATACTAAAGTAAGAAATTTGTTCACTTTTTAAGATATCAAAAGCCAAATTTTTTAAATATATACACAAACTTTGAATACTTTAAAAAGTGTATGCACTCCGAGCAAAACACGGTCAACCTGGTACTGTATAATAATTTACAGACATATATATATATTTATATTTATTACATTCTTTAGAAATAATTCTTACCTTTATCATTTTGTTCATATTGTTTGAGTAGTTTTTTCGCTTCGCGTAATTTTCGCAGCAATATTTCATTTTTTCTTTTTTCAATGGTCAACTCTTGGTTGAGTTGAGATTTACTCTTTGATTCCAATGAACTCAGTATACTAAAAATAAAAGTTTTGTAGTAGCTAAAAATGCGGTATCAAATTTAAACTCACGGATGATTAAAAATAGATGTAGATGAAGGCCGCTTTTCCGGATTCGGATGTGTCATGAGTTTGATGAGTTCATTGAATTCTGGACTTAAACTCGCTAAATTTGGCACCTCGCCGTTTCGTAGTTTCTGCCACTCTGGTCCATTTTTAGGCAAAGGACCTCCGCCAGCTGCTTCAAACAGCGTCATACCAAGTGAAAATATATCTGCTTTAAACAGATTACTAAAATCTTCCTGTAGAATTTCGTAGGGCAGATAACGACAATCGCCTTCTTCAACATGTGGCTCTTTTACCGATGTGACATGTCCAAGATCACCGATTTTGTATGTTGTGATACATTCCGTATTGCTGAGCTCCTCATATATACCATCCATTCCGTCTTCATAGTAGTCCTTTGTGAGCGGTGATGAACTGGATTTATGCAATGAGGGCATTTTGGTCAGGAAAATATTACCAGATTTTAAATCCATATGCACCAAATCATTTGAATGTATGTAGCGTAGACCTTCTGCCACATGAAGTAACAAAATTTTTAACTCAGACTCAACTAAAAAACGTTTTTGTATAAGCGATTGTAAGCTGCCACCATTACAATATTCATTTTGTATAAGCATATGATTATCTTCCGCCCATGCAGAGTAGTAGCGTACAACATTGTCATGTTTACCTAGCACCGCATGTGCCCATACTTCATTCAGAGCTCGTTTTCTGAAAGAATATACAAAAAATAATAAATAGTTTACCCCCTGAAATAGAATTGGATATATTCATATATATATATATATATATTTTTTTTTTGAAGAAGAAATCGCTTAATAATGAAAAAATATATTTGTATTTATAGGTATATACATTTGGAACTTACTCAAAGAAACTGCCTGCCACTGGCTTTATGCTTTTCTTAATGGCATATATACAACCATCCAAACGGTTAAGACATTGATAAACTAATCCAAATTCTCCTATGCCTGAAATAAAAATTTTAAAATTAGTCCACACATTTTCACTTTACAAACCAAGACATACTGACCGATTAGGGAAATTTCTAAGAATTCTTTTTGATAACGACTGATGTTAGTATCTTGTAAAGCTAATCTTTTGGGTGCTTGGAGAACTTCGGAATTACCATCACCTTCATTATCCGTTTTATCTTCTTCGCTGTTTAAGAATATTTGCAAAGACTGATTGCTTAAATTATCTCTTCCGAATTGGGTTCGGCAACGTTTTTTTGTCCGCGCCAAAAAATCTGCAGAGAAAATTTAAAATAAGTTTATTTTCAAAACAAAAAATAAATAAAATGTTATCTTACTATCTGGAGTAAAAGGATTAACGTTCGCTCTTTGTGGTTGAAAGTTATCTAAAATTCGATTGTGCAACGGGAGTGATCTTGGTCGTTCCACTATTTCGCCTTTGCTTGCAACGTCTGCCGCCACTGCTGTAGACAGATGATTTCTTGATTTTTGCAAAATTGTTTTCGGTGTGGCGGGGGTGTCAAAGAGTCTCAGCGCTCGAACTTTACGATACGGCGGCGAAACAGATAAGGTACCTGATTCCGATGCAGATGAACGCGTCTGAATTGGGTCGGACTTTTTTTGCAATTCTTCATCAAGGTGTGGTGATGCAAAACGTAACCTTCTTGGCTGAATATTACAAATTGGAGAAGGCGAACGCATCTCGACGCTCGAGTTTAACTCGATTTGTTCTTGCGAACTATCGGCGTCGTTCTTTCTTTCTGGTTGAAGCTTGTGAAATGCTTCCATTTCAAGGTTTTAATGATTTTAAATGAGGCACTCGATTGTTAGCTGTCTATCTTTTCCTTTAAGCACTCTAAGAAAGAGAGCAATTACAAGAAATCCAATGAATAAATAATTATTCGAGATTTATCCTAGAAAACCGAAATTGAACTTAAATTAACGTCTTGAAGTTGGTTGCATTTCAACAAAAAATTTTAGCCGTCGGAATAAGGGCCCTGTTACACGATCAGTATTTATTGACGTGATCCAAGTACCGCTATATTTATTGACGGTGTAGCATGCAGAATTGATAAATCGCTATCCATATCGCAAAATTTCTAAAAATTTTGAAATATGGGTCGCGGATCGCAATACCGTCAATAAATATTGAACGTGTAGCACTTACAAAACGCGATCCATACATTTCGACAGTACACCTTTTACTCTCATAATGCGAATATCGGCTCTGCCTTCGTTCTCGGGCAAACAAACAAATTGAACAAATTTTAATTGACATTGGAAATTTTAAAATAATTGTGGAATGCATTATCTGTAAATTAAAAGTACAAAATAAAAAATTTTCTTGTGTCATAATAAGCGTTCAGCTTAAAAATTATGCAAATACTGGAGCTATAAATATTGAATACGTAGCATTCGTGCGCGATCCATCAATCCATCAATATGGACCACGATCCAAATATCGTGATGATTACTGAGAGTGTGGCAGAGCCCTAAGGGCGGCCGTCTTCAAAGATTTTCCACATGAACCAAAAATACAAGATCACGTAAGAACGCGACGTATTTGAAACTGGTTTTGAGAAAAAAGTTTGCGAAAGCGGGTTCGTCAGCTGAGCGTTTGTTTACATAACAAGCACCACTATTTTACTCTTTTATTCAAGTAAAGAAGAGTTAATTCAACATGACAACACATTTTAAAGCATTTTGTTGCATCGTTTTACCTAAATTGTGCGTTTAAAGTGGCTGACAATAATTTTGGCTAATTTTGGTTTTCGTTGTTTTCTTTGCTTTGTTTACTTTTCGCTCGTTTTCCAGTGAAACAAGGTGGCGTAGAACCCGCTAAAAAAATCGACTTTTTTCACTCTCTTGTTCTTACGTGATCTTGTGTCTTTCGTTCATGGTTTTTCCAAAATTGGTCCCTTTTACAGGTCGTCTTCACCATCTTGAAAATCTGACTTGCGTGACGGCATGCGAGCATGAACCAATTAAACAGATCTAACCGGCTGACAAGTGCTATTTGAGTGCAACGGTGTTGCCGTTTTGATACATATGTATCCAATTGGATACATTTTCGCCTTAAATTTTGAGGGATACTTCGTTTCTTTCCTCAGTGTAAATTTGGATACCCTTCCCCTCATTTTCCTTTGTTCTTGTCACTTTGAAAAATTAATTTTTTAGCTACATAAACGTGGATTTAATAAGACCAAGTAGTTTTCAAATCTCAAAAAGTTTTGCGACCTGTAGTAGTTAACCGTAATGCGAAAAAATCAACTATTATATCCCAAGCAACCCTTCTCTTAGCATTCAAAGGAATTTTTAATAGCTTGACTACTAAAAATAAGTTATAACTTCTAAATTTTCGGTTATATGTCGTTAAGCGAGAATTCAAACAAGCCGGAAATATATATTTTCCTTGAAGGCGGAATTCACAGACAAAGACAAGTTTTTGAGGAATTTTTTACCTCTTAGACAGCTTCTCATTCCACCAGCGTGATCGAAACACATTGTAACCATAATAGCAGGAAATAACAATTTATTGAACTAAATGTAACGGGTCTAAATTAGTTTAAATTAGTGTAATTTTGATGGACTAGGAAACATTTTTTACATATATTATTTGTGGGAATCTAATCGTAGTAATAAACATCGAACATACGGAAACTTTGGCTCGTAGTTGTAGTCAGTATTTTGCCATTATTAAAAACAGATCTGGGAAACAAAGGCCCGTAGTTATAGTCAAAATTAAGTCGACACTAAAGTTAGTTGCAGCTTTTTTGACAGGTATCCTATTGAAAATTATATCAAAAAGCTGCAATTAACTATAGAGTCGACTTAATTTTGACACCAAAACGCAAACCGCGAATATTAGGTTAGCCTGCTAAGCTTGTTGCGATACAAGTAAATACAAGTAGGTACTCGATACTTTCATATTGAAACCGAGTACTTTTGGCAACGATACTTTCACCAAATACCCCTGCAAGAAGCCAGACCTATGATTTTCGGTTAAATTAGTGGGAAAACTGACCAAAACATTTCGTCAGTTTAGCGGTTAGTTTTGTGTGGGCTTAGGGAAAAAAGTGACCACTTCTCCGGGCGTGTGATAGTGCATCCCTTTCTTGCACACACGTGGGCGCATTTGCCTTAGAGTATGTGTTGCGTACAAAAGCGAAAAAGCTTATTATTACAAAAGTCCGATTGTACGCAAATAAATGCAGTTTACACGAAAGCGGGTGATATAAAAGCGGATTATATTAGATTTTAAAAGCGGTTTATTCAATTATACAGCGGGTTACAACGATAGATAAAAAACGAATATTAACTAATGACATTTTCCTTTTCTACTATTTACATTCCATTTTCCCTTATTCCATTGGAATAACAAAGCAAAACAGAGTTGCCATATGGGCACGAACAGTATGTTCACTCGCTCACACATGTAATCTAGTTGGTGATGTACAAGTGCGTTTAGCGATGAAACTATTGGGAAAATATCCCGATAATTAGTGTTTTTTCTGACCACTATCCTAGCCTCTAAATAATTGAAAAATTAGTGGATAGATGGCAGCGAAATATCCAAAAATACATGAAACCAAATTAAAAAATACAATTCGATTTAGGTTATGTGTTTGTTTTATTTGTAAAAATATATCCTCGAATATTAACTTAATTGCGTAAGTTTTTTCAGAGCAACTGAGCTGAGACAATTCTTCTAATTTTTCATCGGGGTCTGAATTTTCGTCGTTAAAAACAACAGCGCCGTTTGGTCTTTCTATCTCCATTCCTAAGTTCTGCTGGAGTCCCACGTTGGCGTTGTACTGTATTCCAGCACTGTGGTCACTGACTCCACAGTCGGCCAAATAGGGAATTTACATGAGGCGATTTTTCAGGCGAATTTTAGTTGAAAGCGACAATCGCCTGGTGTAAACGGCTTTTCAACTAATATATAGGCAAAAGTATACTTTGGTTCAACTTTTGGTTCAACTAATCGCCTGAGAAAGTTGAATCATGTAAATTCCCTATAAGCGCGCTGGCCTCAAATTTTTTCTTCTCTATCCACATAGCGCTAAAAAAGGTTTTTTTGCTCAGTTTTGTTATATACAAATTCAATACACTGATTTTTATTAATTCTTTCTTTAAATTCGCCGACTTTTTCTTTATTTTGCACCACAGCTATCCCTGCAAGAACAGTGACTATCATTTGACAAATCATTTGAGTAGCAAGACTGATAGAGATTTCTGTCACTGGCTACCTTCAAGTTTCTATCAAATTCTAAAGGGCAGTGTGAAAAATCTGATGGAAACTTTGTGTACGTGTGATGCTTCATCTCCTTCTAACATATACGTTCTGGCATATTGCGAGACTGCTTACTCCCTTTGAGTTCGGCCTTCAAATTTTAATCATCAGTGATGTAAATCTTCGACAATTATGAGTGATCAACCTTGATAGAAATTTAAGTCAGTAATGTGCAATCAAATTTGATGTAATAACCGATCAATAATGACACATGAAGTCTGTCATGTTTTCATATCATTGTTGATTACTCACAGTTGATGTAAAAATTCGTCTAGTCTGATCTCTCTCCCACGATATAGAAATCTATCATTAATGACACATGTAATACTTGTTTCTTCTTTTATTTTCATAAAATCTTATGAACTAATTATTGATCGTCAAAAAATTAGAAGCTAAATACATTACCCTAAGCACAGTACCTTAAACATATAAAATCTTATGAACTAATTATTGATCGTCAAAAAATTAGAAGCTAAATACATTACCCTAAGCACAGTACCTTAAACATTAATAAACAAAGGAAATGTGGCCAAAAATTAATCAAAATAAGGCGTTTCTATTATTTTTGCCACCAACGTACATATGTACATACTTAAATCTAATATCCTAATACATATTATACATTACATTGAGCGCAATTGCCTTCCTGATTTCTTTTCGAACTCAAAAGGACCTTTTTTTAAATGCATCTAAGTGGATTGAAATAGATTATCAAAAAATGTGTATTGTTAAAAGATATGAACATATGTATACGGTAGTGGCCACATAATTAGGGATACTATTTATTTATACGTTTTGACCATTTATTTAAGAACTTGCGTCGATTTTTGAGAATTTTTGACAAAGTATGTTAAAAAGGTTATATGTATATAGGTATATAGTTATAAATAAATAACGAAAAAATAAATGGTCAGAACTTGTTGTGTCCCTAATACGTAGGATTGTGTCAACCAGTATAAGTTTGTTTAGTGGTTTTCTCTCCCATCTGCCGTCACGCTGTAGCAATGCCTCGTCCGAAAATGAATGTTGAATACCGCTGGCTACGTCCTCAGACACACCTTTTATTTTTGATATATATAACTGACCTTTGAAAAATTTATGTACAGCAATTAGAACGTGAAATATGTATTCCATAATATAATTCATTATCATGGCGTGTGCATACTCTGGATCTTTTAATTTTGTTTCTATTAAATCCACAGCGTAATAGGACTGCAGTGGTAGAGAACTGGCGATGCGATGCAATTTTTTAATATTGGATTCGTAAATCCGTTTTTCTTGCTCATGGCGGTATTAAAAGCTGTTTTATTCATTTTAAATGAAATATTTTATAAAACTTATCTTTATTTTTCCACAGCACTTTAATGGCCAATTTCAAATGAATATTTAAAAGGCACTTAAATCTAATTGTGGATTGTTGTAGAGGTTTACGCCGAACGGCTTTGCGGCGGCGGCGTGGTCAACTTCAAAAAGTATCGGCGGCGGCGGCGAGGCCGGCGCGTCTGGAGACGCCGGCGCTACTGCTCATAAGGTAGATTCCAAAGAGCCATGAGGTTACTAATCTTGTCCTGTCATCTCGGCACCCTTAGGCATTCGCCATGGCAATTCAGATTGTAATTGTATTTAATTCATTAATTGAATTAGTTTTAAATT